ACCAACACAACTTCGCGCCCTTATTAAAAGCTGTACTCACGGACCTCACCAGATGGGCCCATCCGCACATAACTTGGCACGGAAGGGTTGCGGTAATTAAAATGAACATTCTCCCGAGGATCCTGTACCTTATGCAAACTATACCTCTCGCCCTACCATCGGCTTTCTTCTCCACCCTGAAAACGGCAGTGCTCAAGTTTATTTGGAGGGGAGGACGCTCTAGGATCCGACATGACATATTGTGCCGACCTAGAATTCACGGAGGTCTGGCAGTACCCGATTTTAAGAAGTACTACCAAGCAGCAAGCATGCAACGTATACTAGATTGGCACACAACACCATCAACTAAACAATGAGTAGAGCTCGATAGAGGTCTAATCGGACCATCGCTGGAGGCGCAGGTTTGGGATCACTCGAGGCGATCACCAACTCCTCATACCAGGGAAGGATTGACACTACAGACCCTGATAAGCTGGATATCCGTAAGACGACAGGACCACATCTCTCCCTCCCCCAGCCCGATGATACCAATTACACACAATGAAGCGATAGGGGGGGGACTTCCCCCGGGAGCCTGGCCTTTGCAAGAGGATGGCACATATATACCTATACACAAGGCTCTTGAGGGCGGAAGGTTACGGACTCTTCCCTCGATGCTAGGAGACAGCCCTCAGACGCATCTCTTCCGATTCAGATATTTCCAATTGAAACACTTCTACGAATCACTACCACACAAGGATAAACTACATAGAGATCTCACGTGGTTTGAGACCCTCTGCGATCGTGGCACAGCTATAGAACACGCTATTTCTGCACTATATCAACACCTCTTGACCGGTCAAACGACAGCGGTTACAACGTTCAAACGGCAATGGGAAGAACAACTTGGACAATCCCTCTCGACACAGCAATGGGATACAGCGTTGCTCTGGCAGCATAAAAGCTCAATGAGTTCTTACTATCAAGAAATGAACTATAAACTAATTTCTCTCTGGTACAGGACACCTACCTTACTACATCGTATATTTCCCTCAATATCACCGATGTGTTGGAGGTGTCAGGAGACACGTGGATCGGTACTACACATCTGGTGGGAATGCGGAGCCATAACCCCATACTGGGAAATGATCAAGGAAACAATCGTACTCATCCTGGGGGATCTCCCGGACTGGAACGCAGAATTGGCATTACTACACATCACACCATTATCCATATCTTTGTATAAGAAATCGATACTGCGGCACTTGCTTAATGCCGCCAAAGCCAACATCCCAGCTCACTGGAAACAAACCGACATACCTACCAAAAAAGAATGGATCCACAGGGTGGAAGAGATCCAAGGAGCAGAAGCAGCATACGCCACTCTAACAGGTCGGGAAACCAGGCACGCAGAGACGTGGACGCCGTGGTTCCTGTACATCTCTCGCTACCGCAGTGATGGAGGTGCACCGGGGCCCGCAGTGGGGGCACGGCCTGACGCGAGCTAGGCCAGAGGGATCATATCCTGTGTAACCTGCTTACCCCTACCCCTTGCCCTTCCCACTCTCTTATCCTTCTTGCCGGCGGGTGGGGGGCCGGGCCCGGGGCTGGGGGGTCGGCTGGGGGCGCCTTGCGGGACAACAAACAATACCTTACACCGGGAGAGTCACAAGGGACCTGGACGCTACACCAGCTGATGTACTATGACTCAGGATAACTCATTATAGATGGGAGATATTTGGATATTAGGCCGGACGAACACATGGCAAGTTACATGATGAACATCCCAAACCGGATAGACCCGGGACACCTTTCACTCTTGCACAGTAGTAACACCCACATCACACAACACTTTGCGCTTCTCTCATGATATACAGGAGAGGGAAGCCCCAAGCACTTTTTCTTAGACACAGAGGCACATGGTCGCTACGCGAGCTCAGCATAGAGTTACGGTCGAAGGGAAAATCGATGGGTCAAGTGTGGGGCCCGGGTTGGTTGCTGGTTCCGACTTCCGGGTTGGCCTAACAATCAGGGTTCCCATCACACAGCATGTTACCACACCCACCGTACTTAGAGTTAAGCACAGGTACCATTAACGATATCCGGCCTCATGACAAATACCTCATCTGAGAGATGAGAAATACATATAGGCGCTTTCTATAACAAACTTCATATAAAAAGTTGGGCTCGACAGAAGTAACTCCGGGAATGCTCCATGTCCTTTGCTCACCAATCACGACTATAACAAGAGTTGTGGTCTAGTGCACAAGGCCCCCCATGTTCATTTATAATACCCTGCTGAATTTAAACTAATGGGCAGCTGGGTTTAGTCACCTAATGGGCAAATATAGTCACTATCATGACCAACTTGGTAGCGACAACCTAACTTTGATATACCTATGTTTGATTTGAATTCTTATACGTATATACATAGACCTGCGAGTCTTGCTTTGTTATTATTGATGACTTTGCATATTCTTCAATAAAAAGATTTACAAAAAAAAAAAGTGTACTCCGGGGCAAGCTTATCCAAATCGCGTCACAACGGAAAAGAGAGGCGGGCGCAATTATGTCAAACATTCTAGACCGGATCCGCTCCCTGGAAACACAACACAAACGTCAACAGGTGGAAGATACCTACAAAGAACTATTAGAGGAAAGAAGAAGACTACATGCACTGCTACTCAAGAGACACCTGAAACTCCGTAGATCTAAAGGATTCTTCTACCTCCATGCAAACAAAGGGGGCAAACTCCTCGCACAAATGCTCAGGGGACAGCAACACCCCTCACAAGTCCACAAATTAAAAACACGCGACGGCACTACTACCCAACACCCGGAGAAAATCGCCAAGGAATTTCTAACCTACTACTCCTCGCTCTACAATACACATTCACAAAGCAACGAAGAAAGCAGACGAATTAAACAAGGCCGCATGGAATGCTTTCTAAGAGAACATCTCCACACGACGGTGACGGCCGAAGACGCAGAAATCATCGACCGCCCGATCACCGAAGACGACATTAAGACAGCTATCAAAACGACGAAGACAGGACGCGCACCCGGACCCGACGGACTTACGCTGGACTATTATAAACGCTTCCAAGATATACTAGCCCCCAAACTCACAAAGGCGCTCAATGCCATCACTGAGGGACATACATTCCACGCCGAATCATTATCGGCTACAATTACAGTAATCCCAAAACCAGGTAAGGACCCGGAAACCTGCGGCAGCTACAGACCCATCTCCCTCTTAAACGTGGACACAAAACTCTTCACCAAAATATTAGCCACCCGACTTAGCAACCTAATGCCAACACTCGTGCACCCTGATCAAACGGGGTTCATACCGGAACGGGAGGCTCGAGATAGCACTCTGAGAGTTCTCGCTATACAACATCTGGCGAGACAACACGGAACACCACTCCTGCTACTCTCCACGGACGCCGAAAAGGCGTTTGACCGAGTTGACTGGGCATTCCTGAAAACGGCGATACGTCTATTGGGGTTTAACGACAACATACAGAAATGGATCGGAGCGATATACAGCACCCCGATGGCAGCAGTGCGTGTTAACGGAGCCCTGACGGAGTCCTTCCTGATTCGAAATGGTACGAGGCAGGGTTGCCCCTTGTCCCCGCTATTGTTCGCACTTACATTGGAACCCCTGTTGGAGGCAATCCGACGAAATATTAACATCACGGGCTACACCTGTAAAACCACCACACACAAAGTTGCCGCATACGCGGATGACATGCTGTTCTTCATTACACGTCCGAGACTCATCCTACCATGCCTAATGGAAGAATTTGAAAAATACAGACACCTCTCGGGCCTCAAACTTAACTTAAGCAAATGCGAACTGCTCAACATCACGGACTCACTGGGGGAACACGGGGATTTGGCCTCGACCTTCCCGTTCCGATGGTGCCATACCCAAATGAAATACCTGGGGATATGGGTGATGGCTGACCCCAGCGCCATCTACCAGAAAAACTTCCTCCCACTCCTCACACGCATTCAACAAGACCTCCGAACCTGGAATTATCCACACATCTCATGGTTCGGCCGCATAGCGGTCATCAAAATGAATATACTACCCAGACTACTATATTTATTCCATACGATCCCAGTGGCATTACCGACGACCTTTTTCGCGACACTGAAAACCGCATTCCTGACCTATGTCTGGAGAGGATGCAGACCTCGACTAAGATATGAAATACTATGCAAGACCAGGAGTCAGGGCGGATTGGCACTCCCAGACCTGCGCAAATACCACCAAGCGACAGCCCTACAACGGATACTGGAATGGCACACTAACCCGAGATGCAAACAATGGGTGGCCTTGGACAAAGAATCATGCAGCCCATCCATTTTTGCATCCCTATGGAATCAGAAAACGCCACGGCATGATGACCCCGGCGCACCCTCTCCGGCGAGTCATACCCTCCACATATGGTCAACAATGAGGAACGCAGCGATCATCTCCCCAACACCCAGCCCGATGACCACGCTAACACACAACCAAGCATTGGGGGGAGGACTACCGATCAAGGCCTGGGACTTTCTGCAGGGAAGGGACTTCATACCACTCCACAAAACTCTAACCGCCACTGGACTGACCCCCCTGGAACGCCTAATGGAAGGCCCGCCAGCTCCCATGCACAAATTCAGATACTCCCAGCTGACGCATTTCTACCACACCCTACCGAACAAACAAGAGGTACACAGAACCCTCACATGGTTTGAGGACATCTGCGACAAACAAACACCAACTCAGAAACCAACGTCGACGCTCTACCAATACCTAATCACAGATGAGTAGCAAGCAACTCGACGATATAAAGAAAAATGGGAAAGCATCACTGACAAAGTCTTTACCGACGCACAATGGGCCAAAATTCTCATCCTTCATCACAAATCTACGATTAGCTCAAAATATCAAGAAATGAACTATAAGCTATTGACATTCTGGTACAGAATCCCAGACCTACTCCACAGAATATTCCCCAATACCTCGGCGACCTGTTGGAGATGTGAGGCAGATATTGGAACACTAAAACATATCTGGTGGGACTGCCCCAACATTAAACCGTTTTGGAACCAGATTACGTCCCGCATCAAAGAGGTACTAGGGAACACAACGCAATTGTCAATAGACAACACTCTCCTGCATCATACTAAAGACCCGATCTCAAAATACAAACGATCCATCCTACTACACCTTCTCGACGCGGTCAAGGCTCTAATCCCTGCCCTATGGAAAACGACAAACGCCCCCACAATGGAACAATGGCTAAGCAGGGTAGAAGAGATCAGATTCGCAGAAGAAATGCATGCGACCTTACGAGACACCCTCACGAAACACGTTGACAAATGGCAACCTTGGATAATATACGTGGCGAGACGTGATGGGGGAGACGCGGCGGTCGAGGAAGGGAGTTAAGGGGGCCTCCACCCATCCCTCCCCCTAACAAACCACACACTACACGCACTACAACCACAACGCTCACAGGATCAACACACCGCCAACACACAGCCACCCCATGAACGCAACCAATGAGGGCACAGGACGTAGCAGCATACTGCACTAGCAACAACCTACCAATCCCGATAAACAACATCAAACAGACTTCTCATAGAACCCAAGCCGACACAACCGACTCATGCACCAATACCCAAGATAGAGCTGAACAACAGGAGACCCCTGAGCGAACCTCACACACTATCACTCTAGGGACTGAAAATCCTGATCCTAGAGCCACGATACCACAAGGAACGAGGATAGCTCTCCTTCTCGTGGGACCCACATCACACATACACACAACCCAGCGGACTACCTTACACAAGACTGGGACACGGGTCGCGGGGAGGGTGGGAGGGAAAACAACATAAGTGGGATGGACTTGGGAGTCAACCACACAACGAAAACAGATGCCACTCATACCAGCCAAACACGACCACAAGACGCCCATGCCACTAGAGTTACCTCTACATTCTACTTACTACTCATCCACAAACACATTACGCGGATAACAGTCTATAATAGAATACGAATTTCAGACCCAACACCTTGTAACTCCTGGAAGCCACTGACATACACACTCACATGGATATAACACATGCAAAATTAATACCAACCCTAGCAAAATTGGCATAGGACCTACGTACCCCACCCGACCTATACCATGAAAGCATATCACCACCAGAGGATCCCAAACGAAAACATAACTGAACACCCCAACTGAATACACCGATTCTCCACATAAGAAAATCGACCTTGATCAGGACCTACGAGACCATTATACCTCTACCATAACCTCTCATAAGTGATCTACGTGTCACCACACCAGGTTAAGATGCACCATGTTAAGATACACGTTGTCTCATTTAGTTAAACGAACACACAATACTCATACGGGACCAGTGAGTTACCACTGCATGGGTTTTTTTTTTTTTCTCTTGCAGTAACAATGAAAACTATCTCATAAAAAGGTTTACAAATAGACA